TGGAGAGGACTCAGAGAGCACTGCAAGGCAGGGTTTGGGATCTCATACTAATATGTTCAATCCCGGCTCCCCACTTGGTGGAACTGTCTCTCTTTCCTGCCCCTCCATCCCTGAAGGTACTAGTTTAAAGCTCTCAAAAAACAGCCTCCTTCTGTTCTTCCCAGGGTTACTGAGAGGAAGAAATGATAATATATATCTCATCATAGGTATATAGAAGTTTCCGTGAATGGTTTTATTTTATGATTTAGCACTGGGCCAATCCCTATTTCTCCCTGTGCGTCAGTTTCCCCTTTACTTCAAAGAGTTTAAGTGATATCTAAGAACCCTTCCCCTTTAAAACTCACCTCCTCCCTGCTCTGTCACTCACTAATGATCCTTTGCAGCCTTAGTCTTCTGAGCTAGGAAGTGAGACACCTGGACCAGGGGAAGCACCTTCGAAGACTGAGGCCTCTGTCATCACCCACATAACCTGGCCCAGATACAGTGCCTAACACCTAACAGGCCCTCAGAAAACACCTGTCAAGAGAATGACAATGCTCTCTCTCTAAGAGGTTAAAACTATATTAATTTCCTACTCTTATTACCAAAAGACATCACCCCAGCCCTCTGGGGACTATAAAATCACCCCCATCTCCACTGGTGACTCGGAGACAAGTGTTACTGAACATACTTGGAGGAAGAAAGTGCCACAGAGTCTGGGGAAATCTGAGGAAGCATCCTGTAGAAGGGCTTTGATCTGGATACTCTAGGCAGGTAGCCCCAAAGGCTGAATGTGAGAAACCACAACAGCAGAGAAGAAGGTAGGGTGGGACAGAACTTTCTGTACAGCCTTTGTGGTAGGTTCTGTGGAAGGCTAAGTCTGGGACACTGGTGAAATCCACTCCCCAAGTATCACCTCCACTCCTAGGGTCCCCCTCTACTGGGAACAAACCAAGTAATTGGAGGGACTAATCATCTACCAGGACCATACTGAAGGTCAGGTCTGGGGGAGCATGAAATTGCCTTTACACAAACCGGGCTTCTGATACAACCTCCAAAAATCTCCTTCTGAAGATGGAGGACCTTAAACCTGGTCAGCTGGGGGCAATGCCTTCAATTCAAATGATGGACAAGATGCTGAGAGAGTCCAGAGAATCTTGAAGCAGTTCTTGGAGGCAAGGGGGCCCTCCTACACATCAGAAGGACTGAGTCCCTGAACACCTTGTCACAGGGTTGCTTGCACACTTCCCTCCCGAGAAAGAGCACAAGCATCCAGGCTGCATGGTTGGACAATTCTGACGAGCCAGAATTGTCTCTTCATGTTGTCTGGGTCTCTGCCCCCAGGAGCCTAGAATAAACTCAGTTCCTACTCTACAAAAACACCTGCTGGGTGCTTGAAGGCAGCATCCCTGAAACAAAACAGCCACTGCCTTCTGCTGTTTACAAGGGCTATCATACCCCATCTCTTCTATGGAGCAGATGTTATTTCTGTTTTAGAGAAGAGGAAATAGGCTCAGAGAACAAGTGCCTTGTCTAAGGTTACACTAAATTTTAATGTACATCTTTGTCAACCCTGTCTTCCCCCGCTATATTCCCTTGAACCTTGTCTTCTTCACACCAAAGAGAGTCTCACTTCAATTTCTCTTACTGCCATGCTGTCTCCTCAAAGGGCCAGGATAGGAGATCCAAGATGGAAGATCCTTCCTATGGGCAGGAAAGGGCAGAAGCTGAAATAGAAACTCTTAAATGCAAGTGAGGAGAGGGCAGACCTAAAAGTTATAGTCGATGTGGTGTACCTGGTGAAGGTGCACTGGAGGTATAGTAGCTCATTCTGGGAAGGGGATGGGGATGGAGAACCTTTCTTGGCATGGGAGGGGCCATGGAGTCCCCAAAAGAGACCATTCTGTATCCAAGGAGTCACTGGGTGCAGGTCCAGATGGGCAAGGGGCCAGAAGTTTTTTAGGTTTTGATATTAGGCTGGAAGATGTTTTTTGTGGTGCAGATGTGGAAATTGAGGGCCAATGAGGGACAGGGGCTTTCTCAGAAAAACATTAGAGCAGTGGGAGACCCAGGACAGCAGTCCAGATCTCATGACCCTTGGATACCACCATGCTGTCACTTGGAGCCACTGGCAGGGAGGTATGTGCCAAGATTCTGCAGTGGAAGAGAGTATATACTCTCCTAGGTCCTCATTGGCTCCTATCAAGCTGCTAAGATGGGCCTTATTTGAGCCTTCTGAAGCCATTTACACTCAGGACACAGTAGCAGGGAAGAGTGCCTCTCTTGTGGGTGTGCAGTACATGCCTCAAAGAAGGCAAGACTAACCCAAGATCACACAGTGAATACATGGTAAAGCCAGGATCTCCAAGATCTGGGCCTTCTCAGCTCCAACAGGCCTCCTGGGAGAGCACACAGTCTCTTTAGCCCAAACTGAGAGCAACAGAAAGGGGGCAGGTGTTTGAAGGATCTGGGCTATCTCTGACCCCAATCCTACCTGCCTCCCTTCCCACACACACCCAGAACTGTGCAGATGAATTTGAAACTTCTGAAGTTCCTTCTAAATGGGTCATGTATTTCCCACAGTGTGAGATTCTGTGCTTTTCACTCTTCACCAAATTCCTGCCCATCCTATAAAACCCAACTCAGAGGCACAGAAAATTACCATGTACGAAGCCATAAAGGAAGTCACATCAAATTCCAAAGGATCTCACAGACCATGATCTCTGACCACAATGCAATATAAGTAGAAGTCAACAAGAAAAACATAAACCTCTCGTAGGGTGAGAAACTAAAAACACACTTCTAAATCATCCAAGAGTTAGAGAGAGGAAATTACAATGAAATTTGTGAAATATTTAGAACTCAATGATAAGGAAAGCACAAGGAGTTTCTAAGTCATTTCCTCTGTGAAGTCAGCCCTGACCCCATGTTGACTCTTCAGATCTCCACCCTCCATCCAGTCCCGTGCCCAGGAAACTGACCCCTATTGGCTGTAGCAACAAGTTCCCTTGTCCTTGGCTTCTGGTGAGATTCCACTAATGAGGAACCTGGCCAGAGATGGGAGGGAGTGGGGGAGGGAAGTGAGGTCCCTTATTTTTCCCCAGTCCTTCTCCATTTGATTGCTGTGGACTGATCATGCTCTTCCCCTGTAGGCCCCAATGCCTGTCAATGGCCCCCCACCCATGTATCTTAATCCTACCCGTCCTGTGCATCTTCAGTTTAGGGATGATAGCTACCCACCACCTTTGCTAATCCTTTGGTATTACATATCCTCATGGTTCTCCCACTCCACAACTCTATCTATCAATAGTTCCTTTATTAAACTCATATTGAGAGCTCAAAATGCCCAGTATGCCCCACACGGCGGCGCATGCCTGTAATCTCAGTGGCTCAATAGGCTGAGGCAGGAGGATTGAGAGTTCAAAGCCAGCCTCAGCAAAAGCAAGGCACTAAGCAATTTCAGTGAGACCCTGTCTCTAAATAAAATATAAAATAGGGCTGAGGGTATGGCTCAGTGGTCAAGTGCCCCTAAGTTCAATCTCCAGTACCCCTCCAAAAAAATGCCCAGTTAGGGTGTTCTGCATCTTTCCTTTAGACATCCCCATTCTTACCAAGAATTCAGCCATCAGTGCTCAACCATATTCTCACTTCTGGATGACCTGTGTTATCTGTGGATGTGTTTTCCCCTTGCTGACCTGTCGGCACCTGAAGTCAGTAACTGGATAAACGTCATCATCCAATCCCCTGATCTCTGTGCACAATCATGCTCAATAAAAGGTATTGGTTAGGATACTAAATAAAGGAGTAGATTTGAGTTCCCTCCATAGGTAAGTGTTTGCTTATTGGGGACTTGGGGCACAATAAGGCCCAGACACAAAAATATAGAGAACTTCAGACAGAGAAAAAGGGGTGCTCAATAACAGAATGGATCCTCAGTTCTAAGCTGGAACTCCCACTCTCCAGTACTGGGGATTGAATACAAGGCCTCAACATATACTTGGCAAGCTCTCTACCATTGACCTACACCCCTAGCCCTCAAATCCCTAAGGATCTGGGGTTTCCATGCCATTGATTAAGCAGGTCCAGACCTAAGAGGAGCCCACTGGGACATCTGTGCCATGGTATGTGCCCATCTATGGCCTCCAGCTCTCTTCTACTTGTACCTGTTCATCTCCCACTTTCCTCCAGAGTGACTTCTACAGCCCAACTATCTGCCTTGGCCCTCCTGGCATGGAAGATCTCCAATCTTCCTTCCCATCCCAAACAGAGCCAGATGACTTGTTCCTGGACCTGGATCACAGCATAATTGAACACAGATGTGAGATACTTATGTCTCCAAGAGAGAATCCATGTAGAGGAGTAGGCAGAGCAGATCAGGTCTGGAAGGATTTGGATTTGGTTGGAAGGAAGGAAGGAGCAAAAGAAGGTATTCCAAAGAGGAAACAGGTATAACAAAGATCTGGAGATGGGAAATGGGTGACTTTAGGTGAGGAGTGAGAATCAGTCCAGCCAGAGGAAGCCACCCTATACCCCATGCCCTGAAGGGAAAGGTGAAGTCTGTTGATTTGAGCACTAGTTGGGGGTCAGTCCACTCAGGAGTGAGATGTTCACTTCATGGTTCCCAAGACAGACGACATTCATTCATTCATTCATTCATTCATTCATTCATTCATTCACTGAAGTGGATTTTCAGCGCCTGCTCCCTGTGGATAGGGCAGACAGGATCTCTTATTGAGTTCAGGGACAAGTGAGGCACCAAAGATTCCAGGAAGGCAAGGAAACCACCATTTATCTAGCAGCCCTTTTGTTTGCTCCAAAAAGAAGCTGGACATGTCCACATTACAGTTTAAAGGGCCAAGAAGACCCCCAGAGGACCGACCCCTCAGTTAGTGCCTCGCTCAGCGGGAAGCTGGGAGCCTGATATGGACTTTCCGGAAAAGCGCAAGTGAAGTGTTGTGTATTGGGGTGGGGGAGTCCCTGTCCCCGCCCCTCCCCGCCCCGTGGCCGCGGCGTGGCTGGGCCCGGGGCGGAGCTGGCGTCGCCCTGCGGGCAGGAGGTCGGCCGCAGCGGAGCAGGGCAGGCAGGCAGGCAGGCGAGGGGAGCTGCCGAGCAGGAGGACCCACAGGAGGGCGACCCAGCGCGCTGGCATGTGACCGCAGCCCAAGGAAGATTCGAGCTCTCCCGTCGTGGCGGACCCCGTGAGTGAGCGCCCGCGCCCCAGGGTCCCTGCCTTACTTCCACTTTCATTTCTTCCTCGGTCCCGGCATGGCACGGTCCGGAGAAGACTCTGGCCTAAAAGCCGGGTGACCACAGTCAACTCGAGGCCGAAGACTCAGAGTTAGCGAAAGTCCGGGTTAGGGGTGGCGGTGGTTGAGGGGGGCGTGTCCTCGGGAGCGGAAATGTCAGGCTGGCTCCTCTGGGTCCCACAACCTGCTTGCCCTGACAGCTGGTGAGAGGGGAGAGGTTCTTAGAAGATCCAGGGGAGACTGGGGTGGGCAGGCTGGCCGAGCGCTGCCAGGAGAGTGTGGAGAATTCGACTCTACTTTCTCTTGGATATCTGTCCTGCAGGGGGCCCCCCGTGCTGGATTCTTAATTCACTCTGGAACTATCCTTTGACTGAGTTCCCTGGCCAGGTCCAAGGAGGGGTGGGTGTGGCCCCGGCAGGGGACTAAATGTCAGAAAACAGGCAGGGTCACCCTGTGGTCTTTATTTGGGAGTCCAGATGCACAGCTAGGAGTGAGCAAGCCACTGGCCATTTGCCCAACATTAGGAAATAGCGACTAAGAGGGGGAATGGGTAGTGGTTCAGGGAGAGCAGGGTGGAGAGTAAAGACCCATAAGGGTCCTGGATAAAAGGTTACCTGTCCTGCACTGACTCTCAGCTTACATTTTCCTAGTAAAAGTCCAAGGCCTTGAAATTCTACAGCAGGTAGATGGGACTTTAGCTTCCTGGTCAAGACAACCAAGTTGCCAAGGGTATTGTCAGTGTGTTGTGGGGGAAAGAAGTAGGTTGGTCTGATTAGTGGGGAAGATGTTGCCCCTCTCCCTTCACCCCCCCTCTCTGTCCTTATCTCCACCAGGCCAGTGACCAGCCAGTGCAGGAAAATGGTCTTTTGCTCCTTGTCATGGGCTGAATCCCTCTTTATCCCAATTCCCAGTTCTGCCTATAACTTGTTATGTGAATGCAGTGTCCTCAAGTCTCCTTTCTGGACCTCAGTTTCCCTAGCTTTACAAGTGGGTTGGGCCAGTTGACTTCTCAGGGCTATTTTAATACTAAAAATCCCTTTAAAAACTGAGCACCAGTTTTGTGCCAGCCCCTGAATTAGGCTAGGCATGGAGTGGAGAGTGAATGGCCAAAGAGACATCTCCATACAAAGAGGAGATCAAGCTCTGTAGAGGAGGCTGCAGGAGGAGGTGGCATTCAACTTGGTGGAGTATGGTCAGGCAGGGTGCAGCTGGAGAAAACACACAGACGGGAGAATGGGAGGTGTGTTCAGACATCAGGAAGAAGCAAAGTAGTTTGTGTAGGGAAGTGGAAGGTGGGGCTAGGGAGGTAGGGTATGGAGTTGAATGCCAGGATGTCTATAACTCTCAGTAAAAGGGGCCATGTAAAAGCAGAGCACCCAGGAACCTCCGCCTAATGGCAGTGTGTGTGAGTGATTCTGGAAGCACCTACCCCAAACAGAGTTTGAAACGGAGATGAAAACTAAAGCCTAGATACCTCCTCTTCTTTGCTTCAGGAAGCTCAGGTGCTGGATCAGGGATGTAGTTCAGTGGTAGAATGCTGCCCAGCATGTGCAAGGATCTGTATTCATTTCCTAGTACCTCAAAACGAGATGAGAAAAGAAGCTCAGGTCCTGGCACTTCTTCAGGAAGAAATTAATGGGTCATGATGGATGAGAGGAACTTCCACATGTTCAAGGTTTTTTTCCAGAGGGCAAGATCCTGCTGGGAGGCCTCTCCAAACTGCCTGTAGTAACCATCCTGGCCTGCCTATTATGGGTATAAGGAAGGACCCTTGTTCCAACATCTCCTCCATTAGTCTGATTTGTTGCCCATATGTGGCATGCCTTTAGCTACAAACAGTTGTCACCTTGTTCCCACCCTCCCTTCCTCAGTCTTGTCCCAACAATTACCAGATATGTGAGAAAGGAAAATGCTCCAATGTCATTCAGTCACTCTGAAGTCAAGACCAGGCTTTGTCTTTGACTGTATTCAAGCTTCATTGTGGGCCTAGAGTTAGGGCTCAGACTGACCAGGGTCAAGGCCAAGTCAGAGTTCAGCCTGGAGCCCAAGCTCACTGCTTAGCTTATACTCGGCCTTAGTGCTAAGTCTGGGGCCAGGGTCAGTGCTCAGTTTGTGGCTAAGTTCCAGTCTCAGCAGGTTTCTCGGTCTGCATTTCCTAATAGCTCACACACTCACAGGGGAGATGAGATGATGCCCTCAGATGCTCAAAAATCTGGCTGTATCATAGTGACACAGGAATTGAATGGTTTAAATCTATGGTGCTACAGGTGTCACCGAGCAATCCAGTGGTGAACCCAGCACTCCTGCTTTTTTGTCTGGGGCTGATTGCTGCCTCTCTCCTAAGTCTGTTCTGTGTCTGGGATACTTCAATTGTAGGGGGCAATGGAAAAAAGCATTGCATGTCTGAGTTCTAGATGGGCCCAGCCGGGTAAATCTGACTGCACTATCCTACCCTCCAGTGTCAGGTGCACAGTAGATGTGGTAGAAATGTTTATAGTATTTCAGATGCAGGGGGAAGGCCTGAGACGCTTGATCAGGAGGAGGCTAGCTTGAAAGGAAGAACCTGCAGCCATTGTCAGAGGAAGCAGTGCTTTTATAGGCTGGCCACCCTCCCCCTCCTCCAGTGCCTGTGGCCACACTCAGCGGCCACCCAGATGGCCACGTAAGGGCCCTTTCCTCTTTCAGAGTAAAGAAAAAGGAAAGGACATTTTTGGTAGAAAAGTCCCTCCTGCTCCCTGGGAATCCCCGGTGGCCGGATAAACTATCCCAGAGGAAGTGGAGGCCAGGGCCCTCCCTCTCCCCACAGCACAATGCAGCTAAACTCTCCCACATTAAACAGGTGGGGCTCCCAGAGGTCAGTCATCTCTTCCAGGCCCCTGTCTCCTGTTGAGCCTGCAGTAGTCTCTATCTTTGGAGCCCAGACCCAGCCCACTATGAGATGCAGAGGAAACAAAACAAGATAAGAGGTGCATGTGGGTACTAGAAGGAGAACTAAGGTAGCCTGGAAAGGGGTGGGGCCCTAGGCCTGGAGGATGAGGATTTCCATTCCAGGTGGAGGGAGCAGATCTCAGGCTGAGAGGTGAGACCCAAATGTTGTGTTGAGAAGTCAGAGCCCATTTGATAAGGCCCTGACCACCCGCCCCTGCCCTTGTGCTTGGCAGAGCATCCTCAGATCCCTGCCCCTGGACACCTGGCCCTACCAAGCCTAGCCATGGCTCTCTGCCTGAAGCAGGTGTTTGCCAAGGACAAGACGTTCCGGCCGCGAAAGCGCTTTGAGCCAGGCACACAGCGCTTCGAGCTTTATAAGAAGGCACAGGCATCACTCAAGTCGGGCCTGGACCTGCGCAGTGTGGTGAGGCTGCCACCTGGCGAGAACATCGATGACTGGATCGCTGTGCACGTGGTGGACTTCTTCAACCGCATCAACCTCATCTATGGCACCATGGCTGAGCGCTGCAGTGAGTCCAGCTGCCCGGTCATGGCCGGCGGGCCCCGATATGAATACCGCTGGCAGGACGAGCGCCAGTACCGGCGGCCGGCCAAGCTCTCCGCGCCACGCTACATGGCATTACTCATGGACTGGATCGAGGGCCTCATCAATGATGAGGATGTCTTTCCCACGCGTGTTGGTGAGCATCACCTGGTTGGAAGGTCAGCAGGGCCTGGAAGGGAGGGAGCCCCCAGGAGCCCAATCCATAGCTGAGGCATTTAGTTTGATATAGCAACTCTGAAGGGTAGGTTACTTTCATTCTGGTTATCATACAAGAAGAGATTGAGACAAGGGCAAGTATCTTGCTCAAGTCAGCTATTTAACTAGGACTATCTGATTCCCTTTGGAGACTCTTGACCCAAGCATGAGTGCCCCACCAGAGACCATTCCAGCAAGAGCATGATTCTCAGAACCTTCCAGAACAGGTGCCCCAAGTTATTTGTAACAGGTTTGCCTTCTTGGGCTGATCTTACTCCATCCTCTGGGAGTTCCCTCTGATTCCTGGCCCCAGGAAAGAGAAGAGATTGGAACTTGGATGAACCTAGATGATATCTTTAATGTGGACCAAGGCTCTGAGGGCAGAATTTTCCCTTGTGAGGTATTTTCTTATCTCAACTGTGCAGCCTGGGCGGTGAGGGTGGGGAGGGGAGATGAGTGATGTCACCCTGGCCCTGCTTCCTCACCCAGGGGCTGAGCAGGCATGACAGTGTGTGCATCACAGCAGCCCCACCTGTATCCTGGGCTCCCGCTCCCACCCAGCCCCATGCTCATTTCTATTAAGGCTATAAGACTCAGAGATGGGTGTGGCAGGGTGGTCAGGCCCAGAGGGGAGAAGTCTAAATGCTGAGGAAAGCCTGGCACTGAGTCACAATTCAATGCCCACAGCTCCTCCCCAGCCAGTGGCTGCATTTCCTGTACTATCATGCCCAACAATAGTACCTTCATTTTACATAGGAGGAAACTGAGGCCAAGAAGGAAAGTGCACTGAATTAAGAAAGAGTCAGAACCAGAGTTCATGTCTTGTGTTATAAGACCAGGACCCAATGTCTTGATGGGAAGGATAAGTGTGAGGGGCCTGGGCTGGACCTGGAAGGCTTAATCCCACCAAGAGCAATGAGGGAGAAAGGGGCCTGTGGGGCTGGATGAGCCAGGTATGGACCTGAATCTGGGCTCTGTTCCCTTCTAGCTTTATACCCTTGGGCTTGTGAGATCTCCATTCCCCTAGATATCCATACCTTTAACCCTGGATGACTCTGCCACAATGGAGAAGAGGACATAAACCACAAGACCTCTGCCCTGAGCATAAGGGAGCATAGGGGGCTGTGCACAAACTACCTTTTCCACAGGTCCAAGGGCAAGGTCTTTATTATTTACTTCTGAGGTTTGCTGCCATGTAGTATAAAGAGGGCTTGAATCCTGCCTCCAGTCTGTACTAATTAATAATTATGTGGCAATGGGCAAGTGACTTAATCTTTAAGCACCACCTCCATTTTATCATATCTAGAATGGTTATCAGACCCATCAGCCAAACTGTAAGGATTTAGAGGCCAGAGGTTCAAAAGACCCAGCTTAGGGGCAGGCTCACAGATAGATAGAAGGTTCTTTGTGCTATTGCATATTTGAAAAAATGAGGAATATATGAACTGGTTCTAGTAATTAGTAATTTTAATCATTGGGAGTCTGGGACTTGCTGTGTGAATGTTGAAAAGAGGAGGGATTCAAGATGAGGCAGTAGAGAGAGATCAGGATCAGATCATGAAAGACCTTGTGCAATACCATGCTGGGAAGTTAGGACTTAGTCTTGAAGGCACAAGATTTTAAAAAACAGACCCCAAACTTTTTTTTTTAAATATTTTTTTAGTTTTAGGTGGATACAATATCTTTATTTTATTTTGGTGTGGTATTGAGGATCCAACCCATTGCCTCACAGGTGCTAGGCAAGCACTCTACCTCTTGAGCCACAATCCCAGCCCTGCAGACCCAAATCACCCCTCCTTGGAATTATATACAAGGGTATGATGTGAGCATCCCTGCAGATACACACCTTGCTGGGGACAGTTTGAGCCATAACTTTCATCATGATCTGAGAAGGGTTGATCAGTCACCAGCAACAAAGTTGCAAAGCCCTGCTTTAGAGGATGGGAAAACTTAGAAGCTGATTTACATTTCAGCAGCAGGGAGGCACAGTCAGATTTGTGCTTCATTAAAAAATAAACTATGGGAGAGGCTAGGGATAGAGCTGAGTGCCAGAGCACTTGTCTGGAATGGCCTAGCATGCAGAAGGTCCTGGATTCAGTCCCCAGCACTGGGGGGGTGGGGGGGGAACATGGGAGATGACAAAACATGTCTGTCTGTCTGACTATCTCTGGCTCACGCTCCCCATCCTCCTCTCTCTTTTTCTCTCTCTCCAGGACAAATGTGCTGAGATATGTACTGGGGAGAAAAAAAAAAAAAACAAACAGCAAAAGCTGTCTGTGTGGGGAGGGGAGGGTTGGCAAAATTTTGTCAGTAGGATGTTGATCCCTCTTTCTGTCCCTCTCTGGCCTCTAGGAGTTCCCTTCCCCAAGAACTTCCAGCAGGTCTGTACCAAGATCCTGACCCGCCTCTTCCGAGTCTTTGTCCATGTTTATATCCACCACTTCGACAGCATCCTCAGCATGGGGGCGGAAGCACACGTCAACACCTGCTACAAGCACTTCTACTACTTCATTCGAGAGTTCAGCCTGGTAGACCAGCGGGAGCTGGAGCCACTGGTGAGGCCAAAGCTCCATTGCCTCCCCTGCCAAGGCTAGCTTTTGGGAGTTTTCAAATCCAAAGGCTGCCTACTATACAGAATTCAAATAACCAAGTGAATATGTTAGGGAAAGCAATTCGCTTGACAATGGATTCCCTGCTACAGTGAATCCAGTCTGCAGGCTACAGTTGGGGTCCAGGGTGGGAGGGGCCAGGCTCAAACAGAAGAATGGTTGGGTCCTATGGTTTGGGAAGTGGCTATCTGGCAAGATGAGCTCAGACTGACCCCTCCTCACCTTGTGTCTCTACAGAGGGAAATGACAGAGCGGATTTGTCACTGAGCCTAGTCCTGGACATTGTTGCTCATCAGATGGACCATCTGCATACAGCGTGGCTGGGGGAGGGCATCCTTGGGAGTCTGATGTTAGAGGAATCTGAAGGCCCTAGGAGCCCTCCACATACCCAATACGTGTGAACTTCTGGTTCTCAGAAGTCTGCCCTCATGTCCTCCTGGCTGCTTGTGCATAGAGAAGGGAGGGCTTCAAGTGGGCAAATGTAAAGAAAGGAGAAGTCAAACCCCCTGGCATGAAGTCTGGGAGAAGGGTGGGCTATCCAGTTACTTCTCTGAACTTTTCATAGTGGTTCCTATTTGGGGAATGTGGATGTGACTGTGGCTGAGGTGACAGCAAGAGAGTAAGTGGCCTCTGTGTAAGTTGGAACACAGATGCCAGTGTGAGTGTGTGTGTGTGATCTTGGCTATAGGATGCCTATCTGTGAGAGATAGGCCCTCCCTGGCACATAGTAGGCTCTCCATAGATGTTGGGTGAATGGAGAGATGGATGGATGGATGAAGAGATTGGGACCATTAGACCATGACCACTGTAGGGTCTTGACAAGTTGTTATCCCCTCTCAGGGTATCTGACCATGTGTACAAGTGTAGATGTACTTTTATGGTGGAAGCTTCCAGGCTACCATCTTCCATTAGCATGAATCCTGGGGACCTGGGTGGAGATTGGAAGGGGGAAGCTTAGCCTGAGTTCCTTAATCCCCTGGCCCACCACAGATGTGGGTTCTGATTTGCTCGGTCAGGGATGCCCATGTTTCCAGAAAGCCCTGATAATAGAGTGCCTCCTGGGGTTTGGGAATGATCCCTAATGTTCACAAAGGTCCCCTGGCTTTTAAACCAGGAATCCTGGACTCCATTCTAGCTCCCAGAATATACAAAACTGACTCTTAGGATCTGAAATCCAGCACAAAATAATCCTCCAGTCCAAGGATCCAGTGGATTTGAACTGAGAAATCTGAAGTCCTCTCTCCCATCCCAGGACACTGAGGATCTTATAGCTGATGGAGAGACGCCATCCTGAAAGTACCTGCCTCCTTCCCACCTATTCCTGAGACATTCCAAATGATTGGATCTCCAAGCACAGCCATCCACAGAGAGACTAGGATGTTCATTTACTGCTCAATAACTTCTTGCCCAGCCCTGTGCCCACACAACACAGGTGGGGAAACTAAGGCAGGAACAGGATTCTGCCCTCCCAAAGCCTCTATACTGGGAGGCCAGGATGGAATACCAGAGGGACCTGAGAATAATCCAGTCTGTCTCTCATTGTACAAAGGAGAATACTAAAGCTGGGAGAAGAAGGGAAAACTGTCTTTCATGGACTTGGATTAAAGACCAGGGTCTTGCCTCCAAAATGAGGACCTGATTGTTAAACAGAAATGCACATGGAAAAAGGGTTTTACAAACCCTCTTCAGGACACAGCTGTTCCTGCTCTGAGCAAGAATTTCTAGCCAGAGAGCCCCACCACCCCTTGGGTTGGCTGGGTTGCCTGCTGAGCCAAGCCTCCAAAATTATGCCCTTCTTGACAGCCTAGAACTGCCTGCCCAATGGGAAAACAGATGGGGCTCTTGGGGCCAGCCATCTGGGCCTGGGATTTCTGCCTTTGCTGCCTCCAGAGAAGTTCCCAAGGGAAACATGCTGGCCTGGCAGCTTTGTCTGCGGCTCTGGAGTGAGGGTAGTAGGAGCTTCCCCCAGAGTGGACTGCAGCTTGCACGGTGGATTCTAGACTATGGCAAGGGCTGATGGCATGGGGGCCAGGGGGAGGGAAATCTATTTTTGTGAAATAGAAGGGAGACTTTATTGTTGTTATTTTTGGTAAAGTAAAAGAGGCCAACTAAAGCATCCACTTGTGGGAAGCTGTGGTCTGGGTGCCACATGGCTCTTGGCAGACCATGGAATGTGCCATGCCAGAATGAGGCTGGAAGGGCTTTTTGCCCTCATAACATGGGCCATGTAGTGGGCTGGCTGGTATGATCATGTCTGTTCCAGCTCTCCAATCCTAAGGTTCTTCCATGTCTCTGAGAATTCTAGACCCTTGGGAAGCAGAGGACTGGCCCTTGCCTTTGGAGTACTCAAATCTGATGGTGAAATTTTCTTAGTTTTAGTTCAAGTTACCTGGCATTGGCTATAGTTAAGATCTCACCCCTTCTTATGGGGGTTAGGAGAACTAACAGATGAAGGGACAGTGGAAATAGAGTCCCAACCTTAATTATAGGAAAGGAAGCCATTTCAGAAGGAAGGTGTTTGTTGTTGGCTGGATCTCAAAGTGGTGGAGGTAGGACATGGGGCTAACTCCTGAGCTTATTCTCCAGAAGACATCTGAATCTCTTGGCTCAAGTCTTGTTATCCCACTGACCTTAACCCACAATCTTTCCAGATAGGAGTTGAAAAACAGCTTGGTACTTTTTGTTGTTGTTAACCATCTTATTTATTTGGCTTGATTTTATCAAGTCAGCAAAGGCCCACCTAGAGCTCCCCTTCTACGTGCAACAGTGCCAGCCTGGCTTTGTCCAGAAGCTTGGAAGTAGAGACCTGGGTTCCAGTCCCATCCCCCACCAAAGTTCCTTATAAGTACTAACCCTCCTTTAGACCTGTATTCCTCGGCTATTTCACCATCAGAAGTAGGAGTGAAAGATTGATTGATCTCTAAGCACCTTCATTAGACAGTCTATGAATCCTTCATAATAATATTAATAATAATATCTAATGCTCGCTATGATTCAGGTACAGTTGTGAGTGCTTGACATATAATAGTTTTTTGAATCAAGTTTGTCTTTAGCTACCTGGCTTCCCTTGGGGACTCCAATATCCCTTCATCCTTTCACTGCTCTAGAATCTGAAAGGCCTACATTCTTCTGTTCCTTCTTCTGGTGCTCCAGAGGAGGTCCTTAGTCCAGCATTCTAAGAGGGTGCTGTTTGCACAAATCCTATGTCAGATTGCTCACTACCTCCGCAATCATTGGACATACAGGCTGTTAGAAAGTCCATGCGCTGGGTTCATGGTCATTTTGAAATAGAGTGAAGATTTATCTCAGAACTGTGTGGCCCAAGGTTTGCACCATACATGGCCTGAGTGACTCTGGACCAACTGGCCATTAAGACAGCAGGAAGCCAACAAAAATTGCTTTGAGAGATTCAGAGAGGGATGCTTAGTGGAGAGATAAAGAAAGAAAGAAAGAACTGGGGCTTAGTGACTTGAGAAAAAAGCCTCTCCTCAGCAATAGGGCAAAACCTAGCAGAACAGAGACTTAAGAGAAGCAAAGCATTAGAGGTAGAGTAACAGGGGCTGGGGTTGTGGCTCAGCAGTAGAGTGCTCCCCTAGCATGCATGAGACCCTGGGTCTTATCCTCAGCACCACATAAAAATAAATAAGTAAAATAAAGGTGTTGTGTCCAACTACAACTAAAAATTTAAAAAACAAAAAAAGAGGTAAAGTAGCAGATTGGTTGGGAAGCCCAGGCTGGACTTTGTTTTCCTGTTGGCTCAAGATCCATAATCATCTTGGGAACAGGGAACAAGGGAGTTAGCCATCTTCTTCACCCTGGGACCCAACATCCCACTGTTGAGGATGCCCCACCAACCTTGGCTCCCATGAACACTACAGCCTCTTTTAAGTGCACTTCTGCCACTCTATGCAGGGAGCTGTTGAATATGTGGTGAAATGAACCCACAAACATGGCTGGAGTTCCAGCTGCCTTGGAGGAGGCCCCTTCCTCGAAGCCCCCCAGCACCCTCATCCAATATTAACTAAACTTGTTTGCCATGTTGGGGCATAGCAACTTTGAGAATATGGATCACAACATAGACCTGAGTGACTCTGGACCAACTGGCAATTAAGACAGTTAGGAGAACAGGCCAGCAAGACTCTTGAGGACTTAAAGTTTTGATGGTGGGCCTGAAAGGTGATGCGTGGGAGAGGCTGGGATACCCAGGAGCTTTCAGGTTAGACTGAGGGATTCTAGCAGGACCCAATACAGAAGCTTGGGAGAAGATTCTATGTCCCCAGTTTTCTCCCAGATTGGAAAATTTAGCAAAATCTTAATGTTCCCCACCTCCTTCCATCATTCAGGTGAGAAAACCTGCCCAAGAAGGGGAAAGGGAACAAATGTTGGAGTGGGGGACGTGAATGATGGACGGTCCAAGAACTCTTTTTTTTTTTTTTTGGTGGTGTTGGGGATTAAACCCAGGGCCTTGTGCATGCAAGGCAAGCGCTCTACCAACCAAACTATATCCCCAACCCCCAGGAAGTTCTTTCAGTAGCATTGCTCACCAGACCTTCACTACAAGCTTAGTCAGGCAGGGAAGGGATGTTTACTTCCATCTTACAAAGAAGGAAACACTGAGCGTCAGAACCTGAATTAAATCCAAGTAAACACTGTCCTCTCATGGCACCTGCAGCCTAGGGAAGTGTCGTGACAAGGTTGGTTGCGGCATTAGTCCTTTTACAGTTGTTTTTCTATAAGAAACAAACTTTTAAAAATTTTGTTTTTAAAAAATATGCTTTAGTTGTAGATGAACACAATACCTTTATTATTTTTTAATGTGGTGCTGAGGATCAAACCCAGTGCCTCACATGTACTTGACAAGTGTTCTACCACTAAGCCACAACCCCAGCTCCCTTGTTTTTTTTTGTTTGTTTGTTTGTTTTTTACTAATGGAGGTAATGTTTTACTCAAACAGAAGTGAAATTCTAGGCATCCATAGTTTTAAAGAAATTTTACAGAATTAGCCCGTTTTAGAAAAGACTAGCAGCATTTATTCATATATAAAAATCATTTAAAGTTCCTTTCAGGCATGCAGAAGAGTTCAGTAAAAACTGATTAAACCTGCGTCTGCCAGGTCTCACCCCTCCAGGCCCTTCAGTGGCTTCCGGATGTTAAAACTAGGAAAAGAAAGCGCGGAACTCAGCTAAGCCCCACCCCTAAGCCAGAACTCTCCCTGCCCTTTGCATGTCACGCATGCGCAGATACTCAGGTCGCGCCCCTCTCTCTGTGGCCATTAGGGCGCAAGCGCAGCACCGCCCCCTCACGCCCCTCTCTGCTTGGGGCCCTCCCCCCGGGTCTAGCACCGCCTCTTCCGCGTTCTCGGCAGAGAGACCTGCAGGTGGGGGTGCGCGCCACCGCTCCCGCTGTGGTCAGCTAAGGTAAAAGCGAGACAGC